CATGATAATAATCATAATCGCGACGCGATGCACAATAGACAAAACAACGCTTTAGATTAGAATGGAGATATCGTTTTCGTTGTCATCGTGCTTTTGAAAAATTCGTTAAAATCAACGAACTCGAAGAGAGTTTTTTTCTTTGTACGAACGACGCGGTGGTTATTCAACAAACCTCTCCTGTCGTTATACGGACCGGGACGAGTATCGCGGCCTCCATCTCGTCCTCCGCCTCTGCCTCCACGTATCGGACCGCCACGTCTGTCGTCTCGCCGGCCCCGCGACTTGCCCGTAGACTGTTCGACGTTGATCGTCACGCCTTTGAAGATGGAGTTGTGTAGAGACTTGATTGCCTCGGCAGCGGCTTCCTCGCGGGCCATGTGCACGAAGGCATAGCGGTTCATCACGTCGCACTCCGTGACCTCACCAAAGCGCACGAATAGGCTGCGCAGCTCGTCATTTCGGCAGTTTTCTGGTAGCCGGCCCACAAAGATTTTTGTTTTTTTCTTTGGTCATAAGAAACATCATTAAAATTAGTATATTCATCTTTTCCGTGAATTACGAGCAGTTGTAGTAATAAATCATTTAGTTCAGATCCAAAATCGCGATTGTTTCTTTTGAATTCGACCATACTAATGTAAGTGTAAGAGCATGGTGTCTGTTCAAGATTTACTCTTGCTCAACTGTTCATTGTCATTTATATTTTAATAAAAACAACATTTCAGAATGTTGAGCTATTTATTTACATAATATTGGAAAACTGAAGTGATAAAATGCTAATGGCNGGAATTTGATAGCAACAAAGTTTATTTGAAATTTAGTTTTAATATTTCATTAGTTCCAAGTGAAATATAATATGGACTTTACATAAACTAATCCAAGATCTACACCAGACCAACACCTAAATCTTACTGATTTTTTTATGTAAAATGAACAAAACAATCAATGAGAAGAAAAACTTTGCCTGTTGAAAATGGTTAAGCAAGTTGAATGGGATGAAAAATTATGATAAAAATGATGTCAAATGAATAACTGAAATTAGACGAGACAAATAAGTTTAAGCAAATATTATAAATCGCAAGATTCTCACCGGTAAACCAGGTGACACCGACACCATTTTCTGAAAAAAAAAATGTTTTTGTTCATGTAGTAATGGTATATTTCAATAAATAGCATTGAATAAAACTTTTTATTGTAAAAAATTGCTGCAAGATATCATTATTTCAAGTTTTTCAGTGCAATCAAGTTTATAGCACACATGATTGTAACAAAAAATCAACGCTAGCAATTTATTGTTATGCATTAAAAAACTTAATTATTAACTGGTGCTATGATGACTTTGTTGAGGTTGCATACATCTTCGTGACTGCTTTGGGCTTACATATTTATACATTATACTAAGTACTTATATAAATGTAACGAATAAAAACCAGCGTGCCAAGTCAATTTGAGGTTATAAGCGTCACAATAATGGAAAATGATTGAGCCCAAGTAGTAGATAGTGACTGTATTCCCATGATTACACAATTGCGTTGAGAAAATCTTGTGAAGCGGCTTTAGTTATTACCGAAGAATGTTGTAAAAAGAGTAACAATTAACCCATTGCTTGGTACAACCTCCGAATGCATCACTGTATTGTTGGTTGATATAACAAGCGCAGCGAATGTTTACAACAATTGAAGTTAAAAAGTTAAGTAATATATTTATGCTCGAGATACTTACGAGATTGTTCATTTTGGTCGAGTAGATAATGAGATACTTATAAACTATACACGCGAACGGAGCTTGATTGCTTTTCACACACAATGTCACTGTAAAATGCCACGACCAACGCACTACTTACTTAGTAGTTGCAGGCTGAGGCTTGCATGTTGCTTCTTTTTTACCTGTTTTACTGCAATAGAATTTCTGGTAATACTGTAATTTTACATCATGCGTTGTCTTTGTCGCTCGTCAAGGGGGATACATATTGGGGAGAGAAAAAATAATGGGGGATTTGGGGAGCCGATTGCCTAGGGACTTTTAGATTTGTCTGCTAGTTATATTTTTTCATTTTATGTTGGACAAAACGTTGTCGCTTGTCGCGCGTAAAATTCAAATCGTCATTAATTTTTTTTGAGTATAATATTTGAGAAAAATGAAGTCTGTGTAATAAATTAATGTTTCGAAAAAACATATTTTAATCTGTGCACGGGTAGTGTTGTTTAAAAATGATTGTACTTTGCTTCGCTTCCTTCGAATTCACAAGCAAGGATTTCTTCTCTTAAAAGACTTCATAATATTTATGTACTTGTTAAATCGTTGAGTGATAATTGGAAAGCCACAAATCAAATCCGTCCAACAAATTTATGTGACTATTACAGAAAATTTTTCAAGTTTCAAAATTGATCATTTTTTGTTTTAACTTTTTTGAGTTAACCTTTTTAAATCGATTTTAAATTAGATAAAGTGACATTTGTTTCTGCTAAAACGCTCTACTTTCTTTTTTTTTTTCGTGTGCCTGAAATAACAAAAACCATCTAGTGACTTATTAATTTTTTGTACGTTTTACATAGTTACGATTACTTCAAAACATTTTTGTTAAATTTCAACTTTTTTCCTAATAAAAGCGTGACTATATTGATGAGTTAATATATTCGAAAAATTAAATAAACTGTCTCATTTGGGTTACAGGAAATCAAATGCAAAACAACATTACATACGGTATTTTCAACTTTATTAGTGAGAATATTTTAAACTAGAAATACATAAAATATCCATGACAGAGGCAAGTTTCATGGTCCATCTGCTATTCATTTGATTTTTTTGGATCACGAAGCACCCACAGATTGTCTTGAAGGGCTTGGCTTGCAAGACACGATTTGAAAGTTTCTCCTTGGGAAGAGCTGCACTTTTGTCAGTAAAGATCTTTGAGATCATCTCAAAGTAAGTTTGTCCGTTGGCCTTGTTCAGCCAGGCTGCCATCTAATGCGAAAACATTTCATGAAAAAATCATGTGTTAAGGCACTTTCAAATTTATCTTATCAATTATATATTACTTAACGATAAGGAGAGAATATGTTACAGGTACACGGTACAAAAGGGTAATATAAAAAAAAAAAATTGGAGCGGGAAACAGGCTGGAAATCAGAAGAAGCATACATTCATATAGTTAATGTTTACGAAAACAAATGATGTATACATCGCACGAAATGGATTTTTTCTCAGTGATCGAAACATACATGTAATACCATGAAAAGATACAGAAAAATCGCGCGCTTTTGAGATAGTAAGAAAGTTTTGTCGGTCGCAACAGGCGCTGTTTCAAAAAATTGATCGTAAAAACGACTAAGTTAAAGTGTTTACAGAATTAATTTTAATTTTTAATTTATTTTTTTTTTCAATGAATTTAAGTAGAGTATATCGACACTATCGATCACGAAACTGCAACTTGGCCAGTTTTCGAAGCTAAAAGTAGCTTTCAGCGCGATTGAAATAGACATTTTTTTCTATTTTGCAATATCGGTGATAGATACCCAAGCAATATTATATAATACTCCAGGTTATTGTTTCAAAAAAGCCAGCACTGCGTTGACGAGTACGGAAAAGTTTTCGCATGTTTCTCTAAAAAGTACGTTTAGATTGTGCCGAAAGATGGATTTTATTGTTCATGATAGTTGCGAAATCCCGAGGAAGCATGCACAGAGATTTCATTGACTGTTCACGTTGTGAGTGTTATCTTCTTGTCTCCAGTCATCGTCTCTTCATCACAATTTGCAAACAATCTTGCAACATTTTCTTACAAACATAGCATGAGTTTACTTATACAAGATGCGCAAGTCCCATTAAAAGTTCAGCGTATTATTATGAATGATAAAACTCAGAACTTATAAATACAAGATGAAATGTGTGAAGCTTGTCTTTTTGAATTTTGAGCAGAAATTGGGACTATCAAAAACGTCAAATTATTTAAAATCATCAAGTCACGCGAAACAAGATTATTAACTAAATAACTCCGAATTTCTGCTCAATGAACGAGTGATCTTAAAAAAAAAAACAATAAAAGTTGTTCTCGCCAATGAGTCCAGGATATCCTGCTGGATGATTCGCTCAAGGATGTGTTTTAGCAACAGCAATGTAGAACCATGTAAAGGACGCACGCACTAATTTCTGTGATATAAACGTACCTTTTTTTAATGATCGCAAGGCCGCCGGAGCGCAAACGCATTTTCATCGCCTTCGTCGGATTTGTATTTTTCTCTAAATCGGGCACATATGGGCATTATTTATCGGCGATTGGCTACACTTTCCTCTTTCGACGTTAATTAAGCGACTCTGAGTATTGGGTACGGATGGCGCCAACGTGCGCCAAGTGGACGACGCAAAAATGTTTCTCTTCTCTCGTTTCGCAAAAATGTTTTTCTTGTCGAGAGAAAACGAGTTACAAGAGAGGCGAAGTTCCGGCGCAATGTCTTCTGTACTACGCTAAGCAATAGTCGACTCTTCATGCAAAAGATGATGCTTTCTCATTCCATGAATATCCTATCAGCATTACTAGTCGTCCTTATTATTAATTTTTCAAAGTATCTTGAATATCATTTCAGCTCAATAAATCCTTAAAATTTTTCACTTTAAATAGAAAATTTGTTTGTAATTGGCCAAGGAACGTAGTGACAGGAATAAAATGTTCATGAGGGTTTAAACGAATTTCTTTGAAATTCAGTTGCAGCACGTAAAAAAATTACGACATTATTTCATTGAGTTGTGTTATGCCAATGTTTTTAACTGTAAAGGATGAGGAATTTTTAAGTTACACCCAGCAAACGCATTTTTTAAAGATTTCATTAGATGTTATGCAGATTTCTTATGCCCATCTTGAAGACATCTTTAGCGAATTTTACTTTCATAAATGTCTTAAAGATCGACATAAAAAGTCTACAAGATATCTATAAGAAACGTTGATAAAATGCGTTTCCTGAGCATATTTGATGAAACAGAAATACTGACAATTTTTTTTTGTTTTTAATGAAAGCAACTTTAAGCATTTCTGTTTTATTGACTAATGTTTAAAACATTGTGTCTCAAATTCTTACACATACAAAAAAGAAAAAGAACAAAATTATACATCAACTTTTCAATGTTACTAGCTTATCTACATAGTATGAGATTATACTTAACTAGGAAAAAAAAATCAATGTTCGTAGCCTATGTTAAAACTAAGCTTAGTCCCCAATCAGGCGAGTGGTAATGGCTACTTTAAATCTTTTTTCCAGACAATTAAATGTTCATCGAAGCAAATACTTGCATGTGCTTTCTGTGTTCTTTTTTTTTTATTTAATGTATTGATATTTATAATGTTTAATAAGAATTACTTTTTTTTGTTTGACAAAAGTTAACAGTATAAAAATGTTACATTTCTATTAATAATTCTCAGTTATCAAATAATGTCTGTACTCATCAAAATGTACGCTCCTGCGCAACCTCTCGAATTATCTTTACAAAACCTTATAAACAAATTGTAACTTTTGTCTCTTGAAACCACACTTAACCTTAAGTAACTTTACACACGATCATTCAGCATCATTTTCTATGTCTTTGTTTTCCCACATATATAATTTTACATTTTGCTTCTCAAATTCGTACAAACTAGGTATACAGTCATTAATTATCATGTATATTCTTGTGTCGGTGAAGTGGGCTTTTAGTTTCGAGAGTAGGGGCATAACGGATGTGTGTATTTGACGTAGACATATATTCGCGCACTTATATAATTATCCCCATGAGTTTCTTAATCTTATAGGTAATTTGCCATATTATTCGTGTGTGCTTATACAAGCGCTTTAGTAGGTACACGTTCGGTTATTTAGTACCTCGGTGGCATCGCGTCTGCCGGGCCTGGGAAGCTAAAAGTTAAAAAAAAAAAAAAAAAAAAAAAAAAGAAATCGCAGGATTAATCGTTGTAATAATATAAATTTTTACATTTTTCTTTCAATACGGCGCAGTACGAAAGTATAAGATGTAACTATGAGTACGGCAGCCTCCCATCATTGTATCGCGTTTATTTTTTACAAAAACGCTTACTTAAATCGATGGAAAATCGTCACGCATGATACCTACAATTAATAGAATTACAATAACGACGAGAATAGTAGTTTTCGACGCCCCAAGGGCACGGTTAGTGTACATATACGCCCGAGTTGCGAACGACGTTTTTTTTGCTGTGGGGCGTGAAAATGTTGGTAGGTTTTTGTCGTTTGTAGTTGAAAAATAAAAAAACTGGAGCAAATCTGCGGTTTCTCGGTCGCATTGTCGATCGCTTCGTAGGGTGTACACAAAATTAATTGTACGTATACGGTCGCTATTCGTTTAGGGTGGCGCGCGCTCGCATATAAATTCATAAAATATGTTGAAAGAGAATACAAGTAAGCAACCTTTGAGTTTCCAATTGCATTACACAACAATGCATCCATAAAATTTGGGAAAAATCAATAGCTGCTTATTACTGCCAAGTATAATTGAATATCGTTACATCTTATACTTTTACACAATGATGATATTTCGTGTCGCCCTGCGCATAATAGATTTTTCTTTCAATAACTCAACGCTCGTGCGAAATCAGTTTTCAGATAAGTATGAGAAAACGTATCGAAACGCAAAAGAACGAGAGCGCAAGGTCATTTACTCTGCTCAGTGTTCCTTTTCGCATTCTGTTTTTTCATTTTTTGTGTTCTTCAATCGATCGAAAAATTCAAAGCATTGCGGTATTCCGAAAAACGGGCATTAAAAAAAAAAAAAAAACATAAATAAAAGGCAAAAGGTAACTTACCGACCACCTCCACGAGGAGGACCATATGGGTCTGCTCTGTCATATCCTTCTGTGTATCTGCAACAAAATTGAGAAATTTTATTTTCAGACGACCATTAGATTAAGTTGTCTTCGTCATTAATAAGAAATAATGACTTTATGCATCAAAAAATTAATAATGATACTGTTTATCAAGCGTGACTTACCCTCCAACTTGGTATCCGGCACTCGGTACAGTCCCTCCAGCTCTTCGACTGAACATGTCTGCTTGTGGTCCAGGACCAGCGTTGTAACTAGGTCCACCAGTGTTGTAGCTAGGTGCTCCACCGATTGGTCTGTTGAACGAATATTCAATAAGAATGAGGAAAAAATCCACAATTCGAACGAGTTTTTGAGGAAATCCAAGCAAAACATTTACCCAACATCTCCATATCCTGCGCTGTAACCGCCGGCGGCCACACCACTGCCGTTTCTCATGGGTCCAGCTGCCGTGCGGTCATAGTCGGTGCGCGGGGCATACGCGTCGACACGGCCCGTCGTAAAGCTGTCGGTTCGTCCATAGTCAACTGGTCCTGGCGCTGCCCTGCTGAAATCACTCGTCATACCACCACCTGCCACTGAGTAGTCACACACTGTTTGTCGAGAATAAGCTACATTCATGGAACAACAGATATTACAAGATTAATACTTTTCATCTACGGATAAAAGAAAACGTTGACTGAGTCGAAAATTAAAATACACAACGCATGTACAGCACGAGCTCCAAAACAGAAAAACAAAGAGACGTACTCGGAAACTCTCCACGGGTTCCATAGTCTGTCCTGGCGCCAAAGTCAGCCGTCCTGCCGTAGTCGGTTCTACCGTAGTCCACGGCAGCGGTCGGCCCGTATCCACCTACGGTACCACCAGCAGGTCCGTAGCCTCCCATGGGTGCCGTTGACGTGTAACCCATCGCAGCCCCACCGACGTTTTGTCCGTAGCCGCCTCGGTCGTTGTATCCACCGCCAAAGTCACCCCGGCCACCAAAATCTCCACCCCCGCGGTTGTAGTCCTGGTAGCCGCCACCGCCACCACCGACTGAGCCTTCGTAGCCTGAATTATGGATTGGCAGGACTGTTGTTGTTGTTAGTGGAAGAATAGCATCAGGAGCGGACGGAATCGAGAAGCAGACAAAACGAGGCCTTCGTTGCAATTTGATCGTTTCCCAGCGCTTTCAGCTTGCATTTTAGGTCCTAATTCATCGCTCGCTTTTGTACATCTTTTTTTTAGCTCAAATTCAAACGTACATTCGGTTTTTTTTCAATTGTTTGAATTAACTGAAATGTTATCACGTTTCTAAACCATTGCCAAGTTAACACAAATAAGGTAGATTATTACTCGGGCTTAAACGTTTGTAAGAAAAAAAAGTCAACATGTTTTGTGCAGGCTCTGATGTAACAAGCACTGTTAGTAAATTGTTAGTGACAGCTATGTGATTGAATTCAACTAAACTGAGGGTTGATTAATGTTAAAAGTACGATGTGTTATAAAAAAAATATGAAAATGATTGCTCAATAAAAAAAAGGCCAATAATTTTGATGCAAGGATGAATCATTACCTAAACTTTGCATGCAGTCTATGTATTTCTGAAAAAGTGTTGCGAGTATCTACTAGTAAGTTGTTATGTATGAAGTCTATCAGACTATTATAACATATTGTGTGATAAACTATTACATGGAGACAATAATCATCTTAGAATACAACTTGTCGAATGTCAAATTTTTTTGTAATGGTGATAAAAATGTGCCGTTCTAGGAATAAAAGTAAATTAACAAATTGCAACTACTTATAGGTGAAAATTCACGTTTCAAATATTAGTAAGCGGTATACAGATAACTAAATAATTCTCTGATGCATTGAATGACCAGAGTGTGGTTTTCGTACAAACTTGTCAAAAACATGCAAAATTTTACTGTAGGGTGTGTGATGCCTCAACACGTTAGTGCATTTATATTATATTACATTGCATAACTAAAGAATTCCTTCAAGTTAAAAATTGATGTATTTTTTAAAAATAAGCGATTCCGTTGAATGACGTTAGTTATATGATATTACAAACGCTTAAACACATCATTGTCATAAGTAAAAACGCGACTCGATGCAGAATCGACAAAACAACACTCTCGAGAAGATCATGCATAAAAATCATCTCGCAGTACAAAACTGTAGAAGAGAATAAAGATATTGTTCTCGATGTTGTCGTGCTGTTTTTAATGATAAGAAAATCAACGAACTCAAAGAGAGTTTCTTTCCTCGTACGAACGACGCGGTGGTTATTCAACAAACCTCTCCTGTCGTTATACGGACCGGGACGAGTATCGCGGCCTCCATCTCGTCCTCCGCCTCTGCCTCCACGCATCGGACCGCCACGCCCGTCGTCTCGCCGGCCCCGTGACTTGCCCGTAGACTGTTCGACGTTGATCGTCGAGCCCTTGAAGATGGAGTTGTGTAGAGACTTGATTGTCTCGGCAGCGTCCTCCTCATGAGCCATGTGTACAAAAGCATAGCGATCCTTTACTTCGCATTCCGTGACCTCGCCAAAGCGTACGAATAGGCTGCGTAGTTCATCATTGCGGCAATTTGCTGGTAACCGGCCGACGAAGATTTTCGTCTTCTTCTCAGTGGAACAGAAGCAAAAACCAACCCAACAAATACAATTAAAATTAGCTAATACAGTTCTTTGGAAAATGACAAGTGGTCGCTAGAAAGTAGTTTAGAAAGAACAGCGTTTTACAATATTGAGCAGGAACTGGACTGTTTCTTTTGAATTCGACCATACTAATGTAAGTGTAAGAGCATGGTGTCTGTTCAAGATTTACTCTTGCTCAACTGTTCATTGTCATTTATATTTTAATAAAAACAACATTTCAGAATGTTGAGCTATTTATTTACATAATATTGGAA